AACTCAGCAGACGAGTCACCCAAAGCGACCAGTCACAAAGAGCCAAGGCATGCGAACCCCCACGGTTCAGGCAAGAAACCACCGGGGAGCAGTCCAAATGGAGCCTGATCGTCGATCCACCAGCAACCCAAACCCTCCGAATCAACATCCACACTGCTGTGAATTTCCACACCGTGCTGTGGGCCCGATGGAAGAACAGACCCCCACCACCCTTGGTAAGCACTGATCCCAAAGCCCCAGCCAAGAGAAGATGCGTCCATGAACACATCGAGCGAGGGCTCAGGTAGGCGCCAAGACACTGAACCCCGAAAAACCCAAAGAGGAAGCCAGCAACTCAGCAGCCAACGCAAGGCCCCTGAAGGCCAAACACAACGATCGTGAGAGAAGCGGAAGGGACGTCCCTGATGGAACCAGAACAGCTGACAAAGCCAAACCCAACCCGGCGGGTAGTCTATCATGGCAAAGTTCAGGCTCTTTCACAAACCCTCGAGCAACTCCTGCATGACCTGGGAGCCCCACAGAAACAGGCAAAGGTGGGACTGCAGCTGTAGCAGAGCCTCCAGAGGGAGAGACAAAGAAGTGGTCCGAGAGTCCCACACAAGACCCAGCCAAGACCGAACCTGAGAGGGAACCAGATGGGACCTCCTCCAGTTCACCAGGAACCTGAACCCGGTGAGCTGGGAAAGAAAAAATCCCTGGCGAGCAGACACAAGGACCGGCTGGGAGCCCACACAAGCCAGTTGTCGAGGTATGCCAGAACCCGAATTCCTTAAAGACCCAGACGGGCTACCCCAACCTGGGTAAGGCATGTGAAAACATGAGGTGCCAGATTCAAGGAGAATGAAAGGCAACGAAAGCGATAACCCTGATGCCCCATAACAAAACTGAACCAGTCTACGAACCTCAGATGAATCGGGATGTGCCAATAAGCATCCTGGAGGTCCAGGGACATCATCCAAGCACCCAGCTCCAAGAGAAGACAGACCTGGGACAGAGTAGTCATCCAAAAGGAGGGACAATAAACCCATGGGTTCAGACAGGACAAGTCCAGCAGGAGCGCACGAGTTACCACGAATATATTTATGTTCATTTTTTCCGCACAGTTCCAAATACATTTTATTTGTTTTTACGTGCTAATCCTATGTAGAATGAACACGTACACTATATTATGGCAGTAAAACATTCGTACTGTCCGAAGACACTGTGTTACATGCATGACACTTGTGTACACATATGCTGCACATATTTACTATGTATCATGCTAATTTATGTATATATACAATCTACTTACACACTATACACTGTCACACACTATATACATTCACCAACAACACATTCAGAACACCACGAGTGAGAGCAGCCACAGCCAGCCAGTCTTCCTCACTCCAACATCTTACTCGCCAACATTGCTCCTCCCGCCATACTGATACTGTTCTTATTACACTATTTATTACTTACAAGACTCCGGGTCGAAGGTGTCATCGAACCAACAGGCAGCATGACGGAAGCACAACCAGTGATTGTCACCCTGAGACAAGGAAAGAGAGCAACCTTCAAACTTGCACGATGGGAGGGTCACATCCATCAGACCAAACAGCCCCCCTGCGGGGTTTCCTAGGGCCCTTAGTCGCGTATCTCGCTAAGGAAAGCCCAAGCAGGATACTCCTAACCAGTGTCCAAGATTATCAAACAAACTGCAAAAGCTGAACCGCCAGGATGTGTACACTCATGGGGAAATATAATCGAGGGTGACTAAAACCAAGGGGCAGACCGCTACCAGGCAGGAAAACAAAAACAAAAGAAAACCCATGCATGAGGACAATGTGCCCAAACGGAACAGAGCCGCCCATTATGAGAGGTGACAAGTAGCTGCACATTACTCTGTGCCCCAATTAGTAATGAAACTACCCCCTGCCCAGAGGCAAACAATGGTGCATGAAACACCACAGCTGACTCCAAGGGTGATCAATCACCGAGCAGCAAAAGACCTTGTGGAGGTAGACCCCAAGGTGACTTGTGGAAGTTGGCCCCAAGCCCCAAAGGCAGTACTTATAGGGCACCTAGGGAAGAGGACCCTAGGCACATGTAGCCCGAGTACTGTACTTGCGAAATAACGCCTGGCTCGCACACCACCTAGTAGACAGGAAAAGGCACAGAAGGCACAGAACTGGAAAACATAGGAGCCAGAGGTGCACAACCTTGCCAATTCACATCAGCCACAGAACTGGGGGTGTGGATAGCCAACGTGGGGGTCTGGGGCACCCCCTTTCCTTTCCCGCGGAGGGGGAGACATTGCGCAGACAGTGGCGCGGTGACATGGCAAAGTCATGCTCACTTGCTCATTTTCATTTGGAAAATTCTGTCCACTAGTTCAACTTTCTGTAGCAATATTTTAATCAGAATAGGGGTTTGTTTTGGGGGCGCTTACCTTTCTGGATGCCTGATCTGGTCAATGGTAAATATAGAATGCTTCCAACCACATGGGGATTTCTATAGACCATTGCTACTCATGCCTCTCTGAGGGGCCAGGTTCTGGCTCGTGGTCCCCGGTAGGCCTAGAACTCCATGTGCATCGACTGATGCCACGGTCTAATACATTCATATCAGCCCAGTTAGCTCCGGGGAGCAGATGGGGCTTCCCCCAGAAAAGACACGAAATAAGATATGAAAATGAAAAAACATTGGAATGTTGGCAGATGAGGAAAAATGTGAATGGAGCCTTCACTCTTGTGTTGGTGGAAGCACGAGAGTACGGAACCCAATGTCAGTCCAGTGTTCATTCCCCTTATGGTGACAAGTGCAAGACTACAATTTGTGGTATTTGTGGTGCTATTTTTTTATAGTTAGATGTAATTACCTAGATGTAATTACCTACGTGTAATTACCTAAGTACCGAGTGTAGTATTACCTAATTACCGAGTGTAGTATTACCTAATTACAACTAAGTATAGTGTTACCTAATTACAACTAAGTGTAGTTACAGAAAGAGAGCTAAGCTCATGGTGTCCCATCTTCCTAGCACTCTTTTGTCTTATAACACTTTGAAATTACTGATGGTTTTGGCCTCCACCATCTTCTCACCTAACTTGTTCCAACCGTCTACCACTCTGTTTGCGAAAGTTAATTTTCTTATATTCCTTCGGCAGTTTTGTTTAAATCTATGACCACTTTTTCTTGAAGTTCCAGGTCTCAGGAATTTTTCCTTATCAACTGTATCAATTCTTATTACTATTTTGTATGTAGTGATCATATCGACAATTTTTCTTCTATCTTCTAGCTGTGGCATATTTAATGCCTCTGCTCTCCCCTCGTAGCTTTTGTCCTTCAGTTCTGGGAGCCATTTAGTTGCATGTCCTTGCACCTTTTCCAGTTTGTTGATGTGCTTCTTAAGATATGGGCACCATACAACCGCTGCATATTCCAGCTTTGGTCTAACAAAAGTCATGAACAATTTCTTTAGTAAATATCCATCCATATATTTAACAGCAATTCTGAAGTTGGAAAGCATAGCATAAGCTCCTCGCACAATGTTCTTTATGTGGTCCTTAGGAAATAATTTTCTATCTAGAACCACCCGTAGATATCTTTCTTTATCAGAATTTTTTAAATATTTCTCACATAATTTATAGGTTGTATGGAGTCTATGTTCTCCTGTTACACATTCCATAACATGGCATTTATTCACATTAAATTCCATTTGCCAAGTAGTGATCCATACACATTTTGTCAGGTCTTCTTGAAGGGCATTACAATCATCTAAGTTACTTATCCTTCCTATTATCTTAGCATCATCAGCAAACATGTTCATATAATTCTGTATTCCATCTGGTAGCGCATTTATGTAGACAATAAACATTACCGGTGCAAGAACTGAACCCTTTGGTACACCAATTGTGACATTTCTCCAGTCTGACACATTGCTTCTGATTACTGCCCTCATTTTTCTGTCGGTTAAAATAATTTTCATCCATGTTAAAAGCCTACCTGTGACCACCCTTGAAGCATCGTATGTGTTGGGAATGGGCGTGTGCATGGGTGTTGTAATTACCTAAGTGTAGTTAAAGGATGAGAGCTATGCTCATGGTGTCCCCCATCTTCCTAATACAGTACTCTCTGTCATATGACACTTTTAAACTACTGACGGATTTGACCTCCACCACCTTCTCACCTAACTTGTTCCAAACATCTACCACTCTGTAAAAGTTTGCTTTCTAATGTTTTTTTGGCAGCTTTGTTTCTTTGGCTTGAACCTGTGTCCTCTTGTTCTTGAAGTTGTCTTTTTACAAAATTCTTGTTTGTCAATTTTGTTGACTCCTGTTGCTATTTTGTATACAGTGATCATATCACATCTCTTTTTCTTCTATCTTCTAGCATTGGTATATTTAACATCTCTAACCTCTCTTCATAACTCTTGTTTTCAATTCCAGAAGCCAATTAGTTTCATGTCTTTGCACCTTTTCCAGTTTATTGATATGTTTCTTGAGATATGGGCACCATATAACCACTGCATATTCCAACCTTAGTCTCACAAAGGTCAGGAACAATTTCCTTAATATTTTGCCTTCCATGTACTAAAAAACAATTCTGAATTTGGAAAGTGGAGCATGTTCTTCTCACACTGTGGAGATATGTGTATGTATCTGTGGGTAAGTGTTTAGTTTGAAAGAATGCTTGTGTGCACATGCACCCATGTTTTTCCTTCAGTCCTAATCTAAATGCGTAATGTAATTAACTTCAGACTCACACATTAATTACTGTACAACCAATTGATTACATGTTTATTTTGTTTAGTCTTATTTACTTCAAACAAATTTTAATGTGTGCTTCTCAGAAAATTAACTAGGACAAAAATCTTTGTTGCATCATAATTCACATAAAATTTGGCAGAGCTATCAAAGAAAAGAAGAAAAGGTCAACCTTGGCAACGCATCTGTATCTAGAAGGCTAGTAACATATGTAGAGATACAATGTTGGTGGAAAGTTTTTAGAAAAGTTCTTACGTGCAGCAAAGGTTTGAGGGAGGCCATTGGCAAACACAGCCCCCTCGCTCCCGCCTGGCTGGCTATTTGGCCCTGGCTGAGGAGCTATATTGAAATTCTGCATCGTAGGGGAAGGCATGGAGGGCAATGCGCCGTTTACGGGCTGAGCTTGACTGGCACCTGGGGAGACATTGCAACACTTATCAGGCGCAGAGCAGGTGGTACAGAGTCCACCAGGGCTAGAGGGCACCTGAGGGATAAAGCCACCTGGAGTAGGGAACAACCTGGAGTTGGGACCTGCCTGGGGAATACAAGCCACCAGGTAGTGGATACCATCCAGGGGGGGGATAGAGCCACTTAATATAGGGCTCCGATTTAGGATATAGAACCCCACTAACAGCTGAGAGGCAACCACAATCACACTTAAACAAATACTTGAGATTCCATTTAAATCAAGAGACTGCTTATGTGAGGAGTATAAAACTTTGATTTATTGAGGATGACAATTTTTTTTCAGCTAGAAGATTGTGACTTAAAATTTTCTTTTTAATATCATAAAAAAAATTGTGTGTAAAGGAGAGCATTATCTCAAGAATGTATTCCTTTACAGTACTTAATACTATCTCCTCAAAACTCAATACTCAAAACACTGTTATAAAATAATTCATTAATAGCTGATAGGGCCACTGATATACCAAACAATATGGTAACTGATTAAACACAGACCACAGTGTTCTGCCCATTAGTTGTTTATTTAGTCTACAAAGTGAAGAAAATTGTCCTATGCTGTCAAACAAATATGTTCAGCCATATTCCTAGGGCCCAATTTATCCTGAAATTAATGCAAAATTTTAGTAGAAGAACTGAATTGTTAGTAAGCATCCCGTCAAAGGGAAATGGCTGCTGAAGATATAATAAAATATTGAATTTAGGGTTGGACTACAGCAATCACTTCACTTTGAGAGGACGTGGCACCATAGACATTTCACAAGAGGAAGCAAGTCTCAGTATGTAGCCTTTACATTAATTAGTATGCTAAATGACATCCTTTTTTAATTAAATTAGCAAGAATTTGAATATTCACAATTGCATGGCATCAGCATACTCTTACTGAAACTTTCTTTCCTAAACACCAACATACAATTACAATGAAAACAATTATAGCACTGGAACTTTGCAACAACACTAACAACACCAAAGTTGCAATGACCATCTAAACGGCGTTAACTAAGTGTCAAATGATATCAAAAAATGATATCAAATTGTGAAAAATGATATCAAATTGTGAAAAATGATATCAAATTGTGAAAAATGATATCAAATTGTGAAAAATGATATCAAATTGTGAAAAATGATATCAAATTGTACCGACTGGACAATTACTGGAGAATGAATAATGATGGCATTGCATACATAATGCTGTATTTATTTCTATATTTTAGATTGACTGTGTGATACTATCAATCTGATCTCACAGAAACTTTGAAAACGCCATCTGTACTAACAATCAAGGTGTGATTCACGTAAGTGCCACAAACACATTTTACAGGAATCGATACACAAAGAAACAGACTGGGAAGGTAAGGAAGACTTAAAATGATCAAATGTGGATTTTAGGAGAAAGCCAAGTTTAAAATTAATAAACAGGGATCTGCATGTAATTGATCAATTAATAGCTATGATTTAACTATGTATTTGGTTAAATACAGTATTAAAAGATTATTTCATCAAAGTTAAGCCTGTAACATAGGCCTATTTGAGCATGACCTTTTATAGATATCCAACTTATCAGGGATAAACTATGCAAAAAAAAAAAAAGTACAATTGCCAAAACACTAGCATAGTAAAAGGTCAAGTCACCAAACAGCCTAAACAAATCAGAAAAGAGCATCTTCATAGCTCATTTTTATGCTTGATCTAAATATATAAATCATGAACCTCTACTTGCATACAATATTGATCCTGCAAAGTTCATAGCCCAGCATTATCTCCTACATTCCAAATATGAATAAGTGTGATGATGGGGGTGAACTAAGTCCAATGTGACTTGGTCATTTCCTTATAAGTACTATTCTAAAGCAACGTAAGCAGAGCCCGAATTCTTGAGTTTGTATGGCATGGAGATAAAGACAAGACAATTCTGAAAGGCATTTGGTTGTCTCTGGTTGCAGGGCAAGAGAGACTAGAACCAACTGACAATGAGAATTCTACCTAATAATGAGGTATAGTATGTGCAACCTTAAGCAAGGTTTGAGAATTCGGGCACACACAATCAGTGGCTAAACTAGGGTTCGTCTGGGGCTCATTCTCTACTAAACTTACCAACTTTTGAACTCTGTATGTCCCACACCAGTGGCACAGATGCTGCAAAGATGGAATGATGTCTGTTAGCGTCAGTCAGGTATGATCTGTCGTGTTGGAGGTCTATCATGTCTGTTGAGCTTGATACTAGTGAGGTTTGTAAATATAGAAACAAATATATTCTGAGCTTTAATGATCACTTACAATTTAATATAATGAATGATGCATGTTGTGTGATATGAATCAAATATGGAATGACTACACTTTACAGTACTGTACTGTAAATGTTAACCAATTTTTATATGAACTTATAACCATTGGTTATTAAGTGTCTTTTTATCCTGCTGTGATTGGAGGCTACTCTCATCCATTATGAAATATTTAATAATATTTGACATTTCTGCCTTAGAAAATTGCAAGTTCTGTAAGATAAAAAAAATTCTAGAGCAGTTACTCTCTGCATTCAATAAATGCTAATTACACTATATTGAAAGATATTACAGATAATATGGTAAAGCTTATGATAGGGAAATTTTGTTTCTAATACCATGATATTAAGCAACACAGCAATAATGCCAAATTTATATACTGTATATGAATTTACTTTTAAATTAAAATGACTGAATATACAGTACTGTACTTTCAAATTGTAAGCAATGCATGTAATGATTATTCTTTATAATGTGAATGATTTTATAACCCTTCAAAAAAAAAGCATTGAATGTAATGAAACGCCTCTTTCTGGTAGAGACCCCGGTGGCTCCCTGAAGCTGTCTTGCTGAGATGGCTGCCCTACTACTGGGTCACATCAATCCCAGAAGTCCTGTTTGGCTTACCAGAGACCAGACCCAGAACCTGACCTCACCCCCCCCCCCCCACCTTCACAGACACAGGAGCAGAGGCATAGTGATGATTATCATTATGCTCACTGGGAAAGCATCCAGAAAGTCAGTGAAGCTTTACAGACAACTTCAAGGGTCATAGAAAACAAAACATTGAAACAGTCAAATGACTCCACTAACGAGTAAGTCAAAATAATTGGTACAGTACACTTAAAACTAGCTTGACCCTGTTAGTACCAATGACCCCCTCACCAGGTGACCCAGAGCCCAGAGCCCAGAACCGGCTCCAAGTTCAGTCTGGGGCTGATGCACAGCAAACCAACAAACCTGGTAGGGAAGGAGAAAGTCAGGAAGCCACTAGGGCTCTAACAAAAAAAAAAAAAAAAAAAAAAAAGGAGTTTCATTATATTCAACACTGACTTTCTGGGAGGAGCCCCTTGTGGCTCATTGAAGCTAATCACAAAGAAGAAGGAAGACAAGGGAAAACCAGGGAAAAGGAGAATGGTTACCATATGGGTCAACAGAACCCAAAGAGATTTCCTAAATGCCTGAGCCCAAAAACCAGCCCATGATAAGCGAGAGAAAACAGTAACCAAAGTTGCAAGTGTGCAAACATCATGGGCCAGAGGATAGGCTGCAGGCTGGCTAGCATTAATATCATGGAAGACAACCTGATAAAATATAAGCCTTCAAACAGGAGACCAAACAATACAGGTCAATCAACAGAGTATCCCTGAGACAGAAGTGGTGGCATGAAGATAGCTCCAGAGCACCATCACCAGACACAGCAAATGATACACCCATAGAAAATAGTAACAGGAATTGATAAAATCGATAGGGAAGATTTCCTGAGACCTGGAACTTTAAGAACAAGAGGTCATAGATTTAAACTAGCTAAACACAGATGCAAACAGAGTGGTAGATGGTCGGAACAAGTTAGGTGAGAAGGTGGTGGAGGCCAAGACCGTCAGTAGTTTCAAAACGTTATATGACAAAGAGTGCTGGGAAGACGGGACACCACGAGCGTAGCTCTCATCCTGTAACTACACTTAGGTAATTACCCCAAGCCAGACCAGTCAAGCATCAATCATCAAAAGAACCCCTCTAGAAACCAGCTGACTCATTCTTCGCTACAAAATGAGAGGCTTGCAAATAACCAAACAACCCACCAGGGAACAGAACCTCCACCTCTGGGGAAGAGCATAAAGCTCCCAAACCCTACAGCCAGAGGTGAAAGCCAACAAAAATACAGGCTTAAGAAAAATATCATGGACCATAGGGGCAACTGTGAACCCAAAATAGGAAAGAAACACCAACACTGTCAAGAGACCAAGATGGCTCAAGACAAGCATATCGCTGACCAGAGGTGAAAAAACTGACCAGAGATAATAAAACTGACCAGAGGTGTCAAAGCTGTATCAATGCCTAATGCAAGCAATAGCAGCTCTGGCAATGCCAAAAAATAAGAAGCAACTGTATTAGGCATAAGATGACTATCCAAAAACACTCAGGACAAAAAACTACAAAACCAATGGAACTGACATCACAGAAAGACGAAGGAACAAGAGGCAAAATGAGCTCCAGCAACTTCATATTGCCACTACAAAGAGACACACAGGCAGAATACCAATAACCCAGCCACATGCCCACCATACAAATGGTGATAGACCCAGCACAGACTTTGTAAAAGCTTTAGACAAATGTGACCATGGTGTTATTGTATACAAAATACATATAAAATGAATTACTGGCAAAATAGAGAGATGGATTTTCAACTTCCTAATGAACAGAACACAGAATGTAATAGTCAACACAGTAAAATCTGGATAACCTACTGCGAAGAGCTCAGTCTTCCAAGGTACCGTACTTGCTTCAGTAATTTTTCCCATCCTAATATCCGACACAGATAAAGATACAAACTACAGTACTGTATCATCATTTGCAGATGACACTAGGATTTTCATGTGAGTAGGTGCACGCTTTTCATGTGCGCGCCACCAGGCCATGGCAAACAGGTAACGCCAAACGTTACCAGTCTCCGTGGTGTAGTGGTAAGATACTCACCTGGCATTCCACAAGCACTTTGTCATGGGTTCGTATCCTGGCCGGGAAGCATTTACTGGGCGCAAATCCTTAACTGTAGCCTCTGTTTAACTCAACAGTAAAATGGGTACTTGGTTGTAAAAACGATTCTGTGTGGGGGTCGTATTCCAGGGACCTGCCCGAAACGCTACGCGTACTAGTGGCTGTACAAGAATGTAACAACTCTTATATATATCTCAAATAAAAAAAAAAAAAAAAAAAAAAAAAAGAGCTGCAACCAGACAACACATGATGCACCCCCAGCCGAACCAACCAAGCATCAACAACCCAAGAACCCCTCCACAAAGAAGTAGTCTCATTCTTTGCCAGAAAAGAAGCAGATGGCTGCAAACAAACAAACCTACCACCAGGACCAAAAGAGCAGAAATCTCTGTACCGATGGAAAGCATGAAACTCCAAAACCCGACCAACACGGCTGCAAAAGTAACATCTACCCCGTATGGAAGCTGAAGCGGCTCCGCCAGCACTGCACGATATGAGGCAACAGTATTCGGCATAAGATGACGATCCTGAAACAACCACAAAAGGAAGTTCAAGAGACAACTCTATCCGAAACAGAAGAAAACCTACGGAGGGGCAAGAAATAACGAAAGGACTGCCAGGAAACTTCATACTGTCGCCGAGATGAAGCATGCAGGTGGGACACCATCAACAAAGCCACCTGATCACTATACAAGTGATGCTAGACACGTGTCAGAAAGACCAGACGTGAAGACTTGAGAAGATGGAACCAGCTATGTAACGGACTGGCCCAATCTGCTGAAAGACACAGAGCCACGGGAAAACAATTCGTTCAGACACTGAGCAAGCAGCGCCTGAAACCAAGATTGGGCCAGCCACCAAGGGGCCAATGGCACTGCTCTCCCTTGGTAAGTCTCCAAGGACTACTGATCCCCAGTGAGGGGTGGGGGGGTTTCCAGGGCCCTTAGACACACTGCTAAGGGAAGTCCAGGCAAGGTACTGCTAACCGGTACCCCAAACTTCCAAACAAACTACTAAGTGCTGAACTCCCATGACGTGTACACACACGGGGACCTAGCAGAGGACCACCAAGAATGTAGAACGTTAAGGGTCAAAACACCATGGGGAAGACCCTCCACCAGGCAGAAAAAAAAAACTTGCATGAGTACAACGTCACGGGCAGAACACAGCCGGCCGCCGTATTATAGTGAAAACAAGCTGCACAGTACCTTCTGCCCCTACCTGGCACATGCAGCCCGAGTACTGGTGAAACTACTCCTGGCTCGCACACCATTAAGGACAGGACCACACCACAAGGCACAGCACTGGACCAAGTTTGGAGCCAGAGTCGCACAACTGCCAGGTCTCACATCAGCCACAGAACTGTGGGTGTGGATTGCCAGCGCAAGTATCTGAGGTTACCTCTTTCCCCCTCATGGGGAGGGGGAGCTGCGCAGACGGCGGCGCAGTGATGGTTGTGACGTCATGCTCGTTTTTTGTTTGGGGAGTTCGGCTTTCTGTAGCAATTTTTAAACCAGATAGGGTTTGTTTTGGGGCACCTACCTTTCTGGGTGCCCGACCCGGTCGAATGCAGACACAGAATGCTTCAAACCACACACAGGTTTCTATAGGCGATTGCTCCTCGTGCCTCTCTGAGGGGGCCAGGTTCTGGCTTGTGGTCTCCGGTAAGCCTAGAACTCTATTCACTTTGATGCCAGGGTCTAATACATTCATATCAGCCCGGATAGCTCTGGGGAGCTGAAGGGGCTCCCCCCAGAAATGCCATTAAAGAAAAAACAAAACCCCTGAAGACACACAACAAACAAACTGGCAATGAGAGAGAAACATTGGCTGCTGCGTTGAAGTAAAGCGACCTGCACTGGCCGCAGTTTGCCCCACCCAGCCAATAACACTCCCCTATCCTGGGCAAGACGGAAACCCCAGACCTCCGACATACCCCCAGAGGCGAAGACAATGACAAGCAACAAAGTCCTCAAATGGGGAGTGATTCTCGAATGTCCCAGGGATGATAACCCTGACACGCAAGGGCAGTACTTATGGAGCACCTAGGGAAGGTTGCCCTAGGTGCATGCAATCCCTGTACTTGAAGACACCTGGCTACCACACCACACACACACACACACACACAGCTGGAAC